GAAGCAATGTTTTTCTGACAGGATTTATCCAAATTTTCCCAACAGTACACAAACACAGATAGTACAAACATCATAAGTTCATCTGCTCTCCAGCTGAAATAAAAACCCAGGTAAGCACTGCATCCTTGGAATCTCTCACTATGTGGAATGCACACAGCAATATTTAGGGGTTTCTTTTCTTTTGTGTTTCAAATACTTTGTGCCTTTCCACCTACCTTGATCCCATCCAAGAGCAGTCCCCAAGAGGGTTCCTCTTGTACCTGGTGCCTCTTTGAAGCCAAGCCTCCTGCACTTCAGGGATGAAAAGATGTTTCTTATACTACCTTCCTACAGGTCTTGGCATGCTTCATAAGAAAGAACTTCAGAACAATGAACTGGATGTGCCCGAGTGCCTCCCTTCTCAGCCCTTCATGCTAGGTATAAGGAGCAGCCGTGAGATTTACCAGCATTCATTCTTCACCCCTGCTCATTATTTTCCCTTCTGGCTGAAGATTAGGAGTACAACAGCGGAGACATGCCTACTTTATTGGGCAGTCCAGCACCAGGTAGGCCATGAATATGGGAGAGGACTCTATGCATTTGTATTCATCTCTGCTTCATGACCTTCTCATCTCTCTATTCAATTTTTAAAGAAATCAGGACTTACTAATGAGCATATGTCAGCCTCCTTTCCCCTTTTCCTGTAGTCTTGTTGCTTATGGAAAGTAAAATCAAACCTTACGCAACATACACACAAAAGACAAGACAGAAACATCTTCAAATGCAGTCAGGCATGTTTGTATTTTTTTTCTTGAATCTCAAGATCCAAAAGTTGAGTCGAAAAGCTGAGTCTGAAACAAAAGACAACTAAAGAATTCTGAGCCCAGAAATTTGATACCAGAACTCAGTGGCACTCACTGATTTTCTGCAACCCTTTTGGAAGTTCCTAGTTCTCCCCAGGGTCCTTCATTTCAGTACTATAATTTTGGGTGAAAGAAAGGAAGTTAAAAATCCTAGCCCGTCTACTTCAAATCACTAAGAGATATGTAAGTCATGTAGATCTACCCACTGCCAACTCTTGCTTTACTTCATAGAAAATATTGATAGGATTTAAAACAGCAACTAATTTATTCCTCAGCCAACTCAGTATATTGACTGATTCCTTTCAGTTACAAGTTATAACAATTTACATAAGTAGTGCTTTTTCCCTTCAGTCTTTGCCCTGTATTGGTTGCCAGGCTGGCAAACAATTCCTAATATCCTAATATATCCGTTTATAACCTAATCATTAAATCATATCAATTGAGATTTCTCAGCCAATTGTTTTCATAGGAGTTTTGCTGCTTTAATCCAAATTAGCCTAATCAACTTCACCTGTCATCAAGAACATACCCAATCCTCTTTGCAAGTCAACATTAGCAGAGATCACAAAGAAATTCCCATCCCACCAGCATGGTAGGGGACTAAGTGCTATTGCAGACATTTATTTATTTATTTATTAATTATAAAATGTCAGTCATAATTGACCCAAGGCTTGTTTTCAGGTTCTTAACCCTCAAACATCCTTGTTTGAAGAACACAAGTAATGACAAAAATGGTGCCCACAATATGACAGTCCCAGGGTAAATTAGCCCATGGTTGTGCCATGCAAACTAGCCCAATGGCTTCAGCAAAGGTTCTGGTTTAATGCACATTTCCTGGGGTGGGGTGGATCAGTGTGACTTCCATTAACTTTTTCAGTAAAAGCAGGCAAAAAGAACCATCCTCTATATCTTTATTAGCTAACTAAATATTTAGTAGGCTTTTTTCATCTTAGCTTGGGTGTTGAGAACCTGAAAGCACGCTCTCTCTCTCTCTCTCTCTCCCCCCCTCCCCCCATGCATGTGTGTGTGTATGGTAATTGTTCAAATTTCTTAGGCAATGTTCTCAGAAAATACTCAAATGTGTTTTAACAGCAGTCATTAAAACTTACAGATTGTAAAACCATTTTAAACAGCTGAAAACAATTAACAATAAATTTGTACAGAGACACAAACAAACCTTTAAAGGGTAGGAGCAAAACAATTTATTGTAATTACTTTAAATTCAGCAGTATCAATTACACTAGGCACTTGGAAAAATACTCTGAAATTACAACGGAATCAGTTGACAGAGCAAAGTTGCCAAGATGAGGTGCACAAGCTTGACAAGAGCCACTTTCAAAAGAGGCCAAGTAACCACCCTGCAAAAAGATTTTGAGTTGAGAATTCTTTCATGCATTTCTGTAATTCTGTGATTCTGTTCTTGATCTTTCCTTGATCTTTTTGTCAGGAAATGCACCCATCTAGTCCAGGAGCATCTGCTTTGGCAGGCTCTGCCTCTCCAAGGCATCCTTCCGATCACTTCCCTTTGAAATGGGAATGCCTTCTGCATGAAGATGCTGTGTCCTACCACCTCAGCCCTGATCCCTCTTTGCTTTACAATCCTGAGCATTTTCACTCTCTCTCAGTTTCCCATAGATATATGTATTTAAAGAGAATAAGCCAGTGGGGTGTGGCAGCAAGTGTGTTGGACTGAGGAACTGGGAGCTCCTGGTTCTAGTCCTACTCAACCATGGAGTTCACTGGGTGACTCTGGACCAGTCATGAACTCTCAGCCCAACCTACCTCTCAGGGTGGTGGTTGTGAGGATAGAAATAGAGTGGAGGTGAACTATGTAAGCCACCTTGGGTTCTTTGCAAGAGGAAAAAGAGCAGCTTATAAATGCAATGTAATAATAGTAGTATTAGAAATAATTAACAACAACAACAACACATCTTTAAATAATTGAGCTTCTCATTACATTTTCATTTGCTTATTTAAAGGTTGTTAATGCAGGACAGAAAGGGGAAGAAAGCCATTTTAAAAGCCAAAATTTGAAGATACTGATTTCTATCAAACTTGAGACTCTTTTTATTATTGGCTAGAGAAACAGGACTTTGTATAGATTTAAATATGTTTTTAAGTTATCATAAATAGAAAAAATGTGGGGGCTGACCCAGCAGGTCCGATGTTTCTGATGATTGATGTTGTTTTTAGTTTTTCTTTGTATTAGGATTTTGAATAAAACTTATTATAAAGAAAGCCAAAATTTTGCATTCATACTGCACATGCAAGTTATACAAATAGTACTTTTGTTTCCAAATTAACTTTTTTGCTTTGTGTATTATGTATGTGAAAATAATAGCAGGTCAGCAGACCTGCAGTCACTGACCAGAAAAGCTATCTCACTGGAACTTTGTTTTCCCTGTTACACAAGTTTACTGGGATGCGGGATGCAATCTGGCTACATTTCCTGCTTACTTTCCTCCTTAGAAATATCACAATACAACAACAACAGATGATCTCTGTTTAAAGTTATGTGTTTCCATCCTAGGCAGGACTTCTGCCACTTCAATAGCTCTGAGGGACAGAAAATAGTTTCATGAAAATTCTTTCACCACAATGCAGTGGCAAAAGTACAGTTTAACCCAGGAATCCTCAAACTTTTTCAACAGGGGGCCAGTTGAAAGGTGCCTGTGGTGGGTGCGGGCCGCCAAGGCAGTGCCGGCGGGGGGCACAGGCTGGTGAGGGGGTGGGCACGTGCACGGTGAGGTGGGGGGGGCACATGCAGAGGCAGGGTGGGGGCCGTGTGGGCGAGGCAGAGGCTTACTCGCATGGAGATCGTTTTCTCCAAGCGAGTCCAAAACGATCTCCGCGCGAGCAAGCTGCTGCCTCACCGTGCACCCACGCATGCGCGCAGCAAGTCCAAAACCTCTGAGGTGGGCCGGATAAATGGGCATGGCAGGCCGGATCTGGCCCGTGGCCCGTAGTTTGAGGACCCCTGCTTTAACCCCTCTCTAGTGCCAGTACAATGTGCAGGAAAATACAGAACGCAGAAATGACACTGGGTTGTATCTAATTAATTCTCATTCATTTTAATGGATCTACTTTCAGTTATTGGGTATAACTCATAAGCCAGCATTCAATGCTCTCAGTCATTCCACTGTCCCAGTGGGGCATGCTGTTCACGCAATGAAGAGTCAGAGCGCCATAAAGGAACTACCCAGATTAGTGTTCCCCATCTGATTGGTGGATGCTGTGTTGTTTTGCTATTTTATTGTTCTTTATTGTAAGCTGTCCTGAGACATCAAAGTGGTGGATGGGGTATAAAAGGAAAAAAAAAAAAAAAGCATCTCTGTTGCTTCAGGATCTTTGAGCAATTGCTCACTCCCATGACACTAGCTGTAGTCCTCCTGGCATGTAGGCAGCATGCAATGGCGTTCTAACATTATTCCAATTAAGTTCAGATGCCACTTTGATAGAAGAACCTTTAACTCCCAGACATATCTCTGCCATATAACTGTCCAAATGTCTAAAAACACCAGACTTTTGGATCGGATCTTGTGACCCCTCAGGGTTCTATTTCTCCTGATATTTATGGTATGACTGCACCAGAGAAACCCATGCAGGAATCTCTTGTTCTGCTAAAAGATATTTTCACCTGCATTCAGCAGCTCCCTCTGCTCTAGACCACAGGGGGAAGAGTCATCGCTTCCAGTGCTTTGAAACACCAACTGAGGCAGTTGAACATTTGTTCCCTTGGCTCCAGTGGCAACAAAACACAGAATCCCATCCACCATGTGGGGGAGGGGGATGAAGGAATCTTAGAATTGTTCAGCCAAGGAATATTCCCCATCTGAATGTTCAGCATAGACTTCAGAAGAGAACTGGGAAGGTCTCCTACAAATACTTTATTGAGCAAGTTGGGTTGAGGTTGGGAGAATGGATCCACCACTGCTGTAAAATAACTCATTCTCTCTGCTCTTTCTTTCCTCCCAGTTCCTGTGTGTCATTGCCATGGAGCATGGAAACCAAACCGAGTTCCATTTCCATCCCTTCTCTGCCCTCCCTGAAACACAGCTAGTTATTTTCCTGCTCTTTCTGTCCCCCTGTCTACTTGGCCTCTGTGGGAATGCAACTGTGCTGCTTATTGTCTGAACTGACCATTCCCTCCAGAACCTCATGTACATTTTCTTAGGCAACCTGGCTGCCCTGGACATGTGCTATTCTTCTATCATAGCCCCACTGGCCCTGGCCATCCTTCTGTCCGGGGAAAAAGCCTCCATCTCCTTAAGAGAGCCAGTGTGGTGTAGTGGTTAAGAGCGTGGGACTGGGCCTCAGACAATCTGGGTTCTAGTCCCCGCTCAGCCATGGAGCCAACTGGGTGACTTTGGGCCAGTCACAGACTCTCAGCCCAACCTACCTCACAGGGGTGTTGTTGTGGGGATAAGTTGGAGGAGGAGATGTGAGCTGCCTTGAGCCCTTTGTAGGAAAAAGGCAGGATATAAATCGGAAAATAAATAAGTAAGCAAGCAAGTGCATGCAGCGCCCAGATGTTCTTCTTTGTCTTCCTGGGAGGGACTGTCTGCGTCCTGCTGGCTGTCGTTGCATATGATCGCTATGTGGCCATTTGCCATCCACTGCACTACACACTCACCATGAGCAAAGCCAACTGCATGTACCTTGTAGTCGCATCCATGCTGCTGGGATTTCTGTTGTCCCCACAGCTGACCATCCTGGTCTTCTGCCTGCCCTTCTATGGCAGTAATGAAATCAATCACTTCTTCTGTGACATTCCAGCCATCTTGCGGTTGGCTTGCAGTAACACCCACCTCCAGCAGACTGTGCTCTTCATTTTTAGTGTCATCATCTGGACTATCCCCTTTCTTCTGATCTGTATCTCCTTCACCTTCATTGTGGTGGCCCATCTTGCAAATCTGTTCTGCTGAAGGTAGACAGCACACCTGATGCTTGTCCTTTTGCAGTACGGCTGCTGCACTTTCATCTACTTGTGCCCATGCTCCAGCTACTCACCAGAAGAAGGCTGAGCAGTGTCTGTGGTCTGCACATTCATTACTCCTCTACTGAATCCTCTGATTTACAGCATGAGAAACAAGGAGCTGAAGGATGCATGGCACAGAGCCGTTAAAAGAAGACTGTTTTCCCACAAAAAATAATCCAGAGAGGCAGCCCCCATCAAACCATGCATTGCAGTTGAGGTAATGGCGGTGCTTTAGAGGAGGGATCACAACCCACAGGCAACATCTGGCCTCCACGGCAATGACTACACTTGCACAACATGACAACGAACTGCTGGTTTTTGTTGTTGGCTGGTTGCCATGTCATGTGAACCCACTTGTGCTTACCCATGATTGGTTCTGATGGCTGGCAACTACCATAAGAACCAATGTAGTTGCAGGGCGTGCTTGACTTACAACGAGTTCTCATGTCATACGGGTTCAGATGACATGAGCCATCATGGATCAAGCCTGACAAGTGAGCCACTTGATAAGAGCATCAGAATCTCCTTGTCACTCTTGCCAAACAGGTAGCCAGCGAGCTCCCTGAAGTGCCCAAGGACACTTGGGGATGGCTGTCAGAGGCTTCTTCCACTGCCTGCTGCCCCCCCCCCCCCCGCTCTTTTGGGCTGGTGGTGGGAGAGAACTGCTGCCAGTGAGGCACGTAGCACTTCTGGCTGCCTCCAACGAGCCCAAGTGGCACTTGGGGGTGGCTGTCAGACGCTTTCACTACTGCTTGCAACAGTGGGAACCACTAACGAGAATTAACCACTAACAACTCCTTTCCCAATGTTGTCAACCACTTTTGCCAGCTGCCTTTTCTTTCTTAATGGTTTTTCCACAGGAAGAAAGAAAATGGAAGGATCTTTGGTAAAATATTTTAAAAAGATAATATCTTGATCCTATGAATGAGGTAGAGCAACAGAAGGATAGAAACCTATATTGGGCACCCCAAAAGCCTGGAACCCTTAGAAGGGTTATATACATCACACAGTATGTTGGGATAGAGCTCCAGATATGATGAGGAATGTCTGATAATACTCACATTTCTACAACTGGATGTAATCTCAAAAGTCCCACTAAATTCAATGGGATTAACATAGAGGGATCAGATACAGCATTCCTTGATTCATAGTTTATGCTTACTTCCATATACAGAAGGGTCCCTTTAATCACAATTAACCGGCATCCCAAGGTTCCCTTATACAATTTCTCTTTTTCGGTTATTGCTGATAACTTCTGCAGAAAAATGTTTCTGCCTCTGTTTTGGTATCGAAACTGACAACACTGGGAAAGAGCCGTGCCAATTCCACTGGGGCTGTTCTGTTTTCTTCAGAAGAGCAAGTATAAATCAAACAGATGGCTTTACTTGTTAGTTTCTCTGGTACCTAAAGCATCTCCAGTCATGTGAGTTACACCAGTAAAATTGCAGACGGTGAGCTCATGAAGGCTCTTGTAGAACTTCTTGCCATAGCACTGGTGGCTGGTTTTAAAATTCAAGCCACAGCATGGGCATGGCACAGTTTTTGCTACCACCACCTGGCAAAGGAGGTGAGGCAGCTGAGCAGGTAATAAAGCAGGGGGGCTTATCAGAATGTGGCTTAGGGTATGAAGATGTGAGTCTATTCCAGCCCGATCGCTTGGGAGTGCTCCTCGACCCAGAGCTTTCACTGGAAGCTCAGGTAACAGCAGTGGCGAGGAGCGTTTTCCTCCAGCTTCGGCTGATTCATCAGCTGCGCCCCTATTTGGAGTACGACTGCCTTGCGACAGTGACACATGCGTTGGTGACCTCCCGTCTGGACTTCTGTAACGCGCTCTACGTGGGGCTACCCTTGAAGACGGTCCGGATACTTCAATTGGTCCAAAATAGAGCTGCCAGCCTGCTGACGGGGACTGGGCGTTATGTTCACATGACTCCAGTTCTCCGTCAGCTTCACTGGCTTCCCATTGAAGTCTGGGCCCAATTCAAGGTGTTGGTGATGACATATAAAGCCCTTAACGGCTTGGGTCCTGGTTACCTGAAGGAGCGCTCACGCCTGCCCACCCTTTGAGATCAGCGGGAGAGGCCCTTCTCTGGGAACCCTCCGTGAAGGATATTAGGAGAGTGGGTACTTGGAGGAGGGCTTTCTCAGCGGTGGCGCCTAAGTTATGGAATGCGCTCCCCAGGGAGGTCCGCCTGGCGCCGTCGTTATTTGTTTTTTGGCGCCAGGCGAAGACCTTTTTATTTAAGCAGTATTTTAAATGTTAATATTATTGAATTTTATTTGGCCAGGGCGGCTTGTTTTATAGTGTATGTTTTATATTATATATTTGTATTTTATTGTATATATTTTAAAATGTTATTTTAATTTTTTGTTGTAAGCCGCCCCGAGGCTTCGGCAAATGGGGCGGCATAAAAATGTTTTAATAAATAAATAAAATAAATAAATACCATTCTTATGGAAGTCAGTAACAAAACATCTTTTCCCATACTAGCTGGACCAGTAATTTTTTAACTGTGTAAGACACATTAACTCTTGAGGAGGAAGATTCCTGAAAGATCATGATCAAAATCTTAGGCACAGGTCTTCATGGAATGTGGGACCTTCTGATACAAACCACCTGCTGTACCAACCAGATATGCCTAGATTTCTTACACACACACAATCAAAATATAGGCAATATTTAAAAATGCTACTGGGCTCACATAGTACATTGGCGCATTGTAAAATGGCATTGCACACACCAAGATTAATAATGAAGGTCTGTAGCTGCACTGTGCATTTCTGCATGTGCTTTTGTAAAGTCATAGACAGTTACTAGAACAAAGAATGTGGTGGTCTTCAAATTGCCATGTATGGTTTGAGAAGAAGCCACGCTGTTTAGGACCCAGAAGGAAAGCTGTCTAAAAATGGGGCAAGGCAATTCTCTCTTTGACATGCACCATCCTGACAGAGTCCTCATCAGGTTGTGGGATTGTGGGAATTGTGGGCTAAATAGACTGATGGGTCATCCCAGCAATAAAATAAATGCATATTCGAATAAACACCTGTCCTGTCTTCTTATTTGTTTGAAGTTTGCCTGGGCCAAACAGCCAACATCTCTTTGTGTTTCCCCACCAGTGTCTAGGAAAAGACAACATGTACCTTGGCTTAATCACATTTGGAGTTTCTCTACCACCCTCCTCTTCCTTGGCTGCCACTCATTTTGGAGAGGGTGGTGATGGAGAATCTCTGAACATGGTGACATTCTAACACATCTTCTTTTATTCGATATTAATGGGGAGATGTAGTAGGCAACATGAAACTTTGCCCTTAAAAGCAGATCACCAACTTCAGGGGCAGCTGAAAAAGCAATTATAAAGTATACACTGGTACACATGTTAGGCCTATAACATGGAAAAATCTGATGGTTGTCAGACAGGTCATGAAATCATGAGCTGCCCAGAGAAGGCTTGCCCAGCATTAAGGTTGATGTCTCTCCTGCTGTAGCCTTCCTTACCTTTATCACCTTTATCTTGGCTATTCTTACTGTCACTATACGGGGTATCAGGGGGTGGGCTGGTTCAGTGGGAGAGCAGACACAGAAGGTCCAGGTTCTGTCTGCAGCATCTTCAAGTAGGGCTGGGAAAGACCCTTGCAGCGAGCCCCTGGCAGCCTTGACTGGTAAGGCAGGGAGTACTGAGCCAGATGTACCATGGATTTGATTTTGGGGTAGGGCAGGAACATAGAAACATAGAAACAAAGCGAGTCAGAAGGGGTCTCCTGGGCCATCTAGTCTGACCTCCGGCACCAGCTGGCTCCGCTCACAACATGCCCACCATGCAGACGTCCAGCCTGTCCTTGAACACCCGCTCCAATGGGGCCTCAACGACCTCTCGTGGAAGCCCATTCCACACCCTCGGGGTCCTGACTGTCAGGAAGTGCTTCCTGGCATCCAAATGGAACCTTGGCTCCCTGAGCTTTGCTCCGTTGGAGCGCATCCTGCCTTCCTCTGCAGGGGAGAACAGGTCTCTAACCATCTCCGTGTGACATCCACTCACATACCTGTATGTCGCCAACAGATCCCCTCGGAGTCTCCTCTTCTCCAGGCTGAAGAGACCCAGTTCCCTCAGTCTTGCCTCATATGGCATCCCCTGCAAACCGGCCACCAACCTTGTGGCCCTACGCTGCACTGACTCCAACCTGGCTATATCCTTTCTGTAATGAGGGGCCCAAAACTGAACACAATACTCCAGTTGCGGGTGCACCAGAGACATGTAGAGTGGTAGTAATACCTCTTTTGATCTAGAAGCCACACTTCTGGCTATGCAAGCAAGACCTCTTAACCAACGCATCACACTGCTGACTCATGTTTAGCCTGCAGTCAACCAGCACCCTGAGGTCCCTTTCACAAGTGCTGCTCTCCAGCCACTTGTCACCTAACCTGTACTTATGACACCTATTCCTATGCAAGACCTTGCACTTATCCACATTGAACGCCATCCTGTTGTCTCCTGCCCACTTCCATAGTCTGTCCAGATCCTTTTGGATCTGGAGTACCTGCTCCTCAGTTGTGGCCACTGCTCCAGTTTTAGTGTCGTCTGCAAATTTGATCAGCAGATTGTTCACCCCTTCTTCCATGTTGTTAATGAAAAGATTAAACAGGATCGGCCGCGGGACAGAGCCCTGGGGGACCCTGCTTGTTACGGGCCGCCATCCTGATGATTCCCCGCTAATGGTTACCTTCTGCTTTCGGTCAGTCAACCATGCCCTAATCCACCGGACAGTGCTTTGGTGTATCCCAAAACTCCTCAGTTTCTCCACCAGGATATCATGGGGCACTTTGTCAAAGGCCTTGCTGAAATCCAGGTATACCACATCCACTGCATCCCTTCCATCTCAAAACCTTGTCATCGAATTCCACAAGGTTTGTCTGGCAGGACCTGTTTTTGTGGAAGCTGTGTTGTGTGGCTGTCAGCCTCCCTTCCCTATCTAGCATCACTAGATCTCTCTCTATTATGAGCCTTTCCATTGTTTTTCCTACAATGGACATAAGGCTAACCGGTCTATAATTCCCCATGTCTGTTCTACCACCCTTTTTGAAAATTGGGACCACTGATACCACCCTCCAGTCCTCTGGAACTTCACCCGTTCTCCACGAGGTCTCAAAAATGGAGGCCAGTGGGTGTGAGAGAACCC